ACATATAAGAGGTTGTGAGGGGAATGGGGGGAAAAAACAAGGAGAGAAATGAATTACAGTAGATGGGGTAGAGAGAGAAGATGGGAGGGGAGGGGAAGGGGGATAGTAGAGGATAGGAAAGGTAGCAGAATAAAACAGTTACTAATATGGCATTATGTAAAAATGTGGATGTGTAACCAATGTGATTCTGCAATCTTTGTAATGTTTTGAACAACCAATAAAATAAAAAAAAAATAAAATAAATAAAAAGAAAATAAAGTTTATCTTCCTCTCTTTACAATGCACCATTTGTGGAATATTAACACAGTTATTTTGATTTCAGCTCTGTCATACATCCAATAAAGCCCTTGCTAAAATTAAAAAAAATAATAATTGAAGTGGCTCTCAAATACACACAAAATATAATAAAACAAATAAATATTAAAATGATAAAAYTTCTCATCTACATGATTGGCAAAACTAAAAAAAATGCTAGTTAGATATTGGAAAAAGTGAAAAAAAAAAACAAAAAAAAACCCCAGAAACTCTAATTAATCTTACTTAAGGGACTAGAAATTGAGGTCATTATTTGCATATGTGAATAAAAAAGCATGTAGGTTGTTCTTTGTAGCCCTGACTATAATAATGACAAACAAAACCCAATGTTAATGCTTAACAACAGGGTCCTATTAAATAACTTGTGGTATATCCACACAATTAGATACTATGCAATCATTACAACACAAACCCAGCCAGGTGTAATGGTGCACGCCTATAATCCCAGAGGCTCAGGAGGCTGAGACAAAAGGGTTGCAARTTCAAAGCCAGCCTCATAAACAACAAGGTACTAAGCACTCTGTGAGACCCTGTCTCTAAATAAAATACAAAATAGGGCTGGGGATATGGCTCAGTGGTCAAGTGTGCCYGAGTTCAATCCACAGTAACCTCCCCCAAAAAAGAATACACAAATCTGTATGTGCATACACACAAGGTATGAAAGCTCTTTTAAGTACTAAAATGGAATGTCTTCAACATTTAACATTAAATGAAAATGGGATAGTTTGTATTATACACTACTGCTCATAATTTAAAGAAAAAAATTCTATATTTGTCTACATATGCATTATYTATCTCTGGAAGTTTTCACAAGGAATGAATGATACCCACTTCCATGGAGGTTCAAATTATGAGGTTGGGAGATAGCACTGGAAAGGATCGTTTCACTTATACCCTTTGCACTGCCTACCCTTTGAAYTAGCAACCAAATGAATATACTAGCTATTGAAAAAATAATTAGAATGTAAAAAATATGTAAAATTCACCCCACTAACATACTATGTTAAATATACATAAAACTAAATATTTGAGTTTTAAATGATTAGATATTTTTTTAAAAAATTTTTAGTTACTGTTGGACACAATATCTTTATTTTATTTATTTATTTTTATGTGATGCTGAGGATTGAACCCAGTGCCTCGCATGTGCTAGGCAAGCATTCTTCCGCTGAGCCACAACCCCAGCCAGTAAATGAACAAAGAGACAAACCTGAAATAAGGTACATCGTGTGTTGGCTGAGACTTTTGACCTTCATTTAATTCAAGTGATGGGACATCTTTAATTGAATGGCCATTTGAATTCTTAGTAGTAGCTTCATTTTGATTTATGCTATGTTCTAAAAATTAAAGAAAATATTATACAAATTTCAAAATAGCAATTCTTAAAATRACACAAAAAGGCATTTTTTAAAAATTTCAATTTTTTTCAATGTTGAATATTATTTCTGCCTCAATTGTTTCATTCACCTATCCTCTAATGTGGTACTCAAGAGATTTTTCATCTCTTCAAATTTACATTTACTTCCTGTCTGTATTTTTATTATAACTTTCTCTCCAAACGTCTTCATTCATACTCTCCCTTTTATTTATTTACTTTTGGAACCTGAGGTCATATCTCTGAGCTATACGAAAGAAATGAACTCTAAACAAAGCTGATAAATCATAATCTAAAAAAGTAAGTAAAAATTTAGTTAAATACTATACCTTGATTTGAAACTGTTAGAGAACCCAGAGGACACTGTAATTTATTTGAATTTTGCTGTACTGTCTTGGTAGAGTAAGTTTTACATTTTGGGGTCAAGATTTCATTTGTTGCTTCTTGAGTCTTATCACTAAAAACAACAGCAAAAATATACTTTGTGAAACATTAACTCCATGTATCTTATTAAGGGATTTCAGAATTCTATTTGTTTTTTAAAACCTGGGAGTCAAATAACAATGTTCCCATTTTTAAAAAGTAAATTTATCCTGGAGGGAAAAAAAAACTTAAGTACATATAATGGGAATGTCCTTCTGTATAAATTCTAATGATATTCAAAGACTCTGAAGATCTCTTAATAGAAGATAAGCATTTAATAGTCTTCAATGCTGTTGAGTAGTTTCTAGTACATTTGCTGCCAAACAATGTTACCTTTTCTTTTAAAAGGAGTCTAACTGATCCCCCCAAACTTTGCAATTAATTTTTTTAGAGGTAATATTTTAAAGAAACTTGCATTAAAAACAAAACAAACAAAAAATCTGAATTATGGCAGTTTTCCTCTTGTAAAAAAATTTACTTCTGTTCTATTGGGAGTGATAGCACATGCCTACAATCCCAGTTACTTGGGAGGCTCAGGAAAGAGGATCTCAAGTTCAAGGCCAGCCTGGGCAACTTGGTGAAACCATGTCTCAAAATAAAATAAAAAGACCTGAAAATGTAGCGCACTGGTAGAGCACTTTCTTAGCATGTTACAAGATCTTGGGTTCAATCCCAGTACTGGCAGGATGTGTATGTGTATGTGTATGTGTGTGTGTGTGTGTGTGTGTGTGTGTGTATGTATATATATATTCTGTGTTTACATATATGTACAAACATATATTGAGAGAGATCTGTATTTCTCTGTATAAATACAAATTTTTAAGTGTTATAATTAAGTCACTTATTAAGAGTAAATGAAACCTACAAATTGAAGAGTAAAAATAATAAAAATGCATAGGAAATGCTAAATTTACCAAAGCATTATTTTTACCCTTCTAAGTAATATTGTATTTTTTTAATATTTATTCTTAAGCTTTAGGTGGATTTTATTTTATTTATTTATTTTTATGTGGTGCTGAGGATCAAACCCAGTGCCATACTAGGCAAGCTCTCTTCCACTGAGCTACAACCTCAACCTTGAATAATGTCTATAAAAAAACACATCCTCATCATTTATAATTAGCATATTTCACTAACTTAAATAATATAGGAAAACATAGGCCAAATCTAAAAAAGGCATTTGTTACCACCCCTCTAGGCAAAGGTTTCATTAAGATTTTACAAGTGTGTTTATATATATATATATGTTTTTTTCTTTAAGATTTATATTCTTACCCTTCTGATTTTAAAGRGTTCCAGGTATAACTGGGTGTCAAGAAAGCATCGGCACTTGTGGGAGTCATGAGTGTAACTTGATAGGTCTTCAAACCATCCAGGGGATGAAACATAAAATCATTAGGTGCAAAGGAAATTTTTGCTCTGGTTTTTGCAGGATTTTTCTTAGGTAAGTTTTCCATTTTTGATAATATTTTATCTGGATCCATTCTATTTGTTGCACTGGTTTGTGAATCCAAAGTATTTTCTTCATTATCAAGTTTAAAAGAAACAACCTAGATAGAAGTAAATGGAACAGAATGAGAATTTCTCTTCCTGGGATACATTCAACCAATTTTTACAGGATTGAAAAATGTGACAATTGAGCTCTATGTCCCGTATATATAATTTGAAAGGAAAAAAATACAATTAAAATATATATAGGGAATTAGAGGACCAGCTACATTAAACCCCTATGATCCTGGAAGAGAGAGAAACAATTCTTATTAAAAGAGCATATAACACTCTGTAGGCATTACAAGAAAATAAAATATATATGAAAGTTGAAGATGGAAAAAATTACTCAACTAACAAATACACTTTTTACTTAAATTACGTGGATAATCAYAATTAGTTTGAGAATCAGAAATTTAGTATTAGATGACTGCTATTAAGGACCAAATTCTTTTTAAAACTAATCTTAGATGTAAGTAACCTCTTGATAAGAACAATACTTTTCAATATGACACAGTAAGATATACCATATAAAATATCAAACATATTTTTAAACATAAGTTTTAGGTTTCTAAGTTTCTGGGAATTCTTGTGATTTTTAATGAGATCTGAACTAAAATAAGGTATTTCAACCTGGACAAACATTTAAGTGGTAACATTACCCTGAAGGGTGGAGCGTCAATGAAAGTAAAAACTTGTGATAAATCTTTAAGGGGAAAATAAATCCAAGGGAAGAGCTAGAAAGATTATAAAGATTCATCCCATAGTGCTTTTCTTAAAATATCTACATGTGATTTTTAGTAAGAATATAAACAGATTTCTTATTCTTGAACAAAACATTTTTTTTAAAGATGGAATTGTAAAATGGATTATAAACCAAGAGATTAAGCCCTCTATAGTGCCTTTTAAAAAAAACTAATTAATAAAAAAATTWAAAAAAATAATAATGCCTCTTTTTGTGGAGAGGGTACTGGGAATTTAACCCAGGGGCAATTTACCACTAAGCTACATTCCAAGTCCCATTTAAATTTTTTATTTTAAGTTGCTTATTAGGACCTTGCAAAATTGCTGAGGCTGACCCTGAATTTGCAATCCTTCTGCATCAGCCTCCTGAGCTAATGGGATTACAGACTTGTGCCACACAGCCATATGCCTCTTTTTTTATTATCAATTTATTAAACTCTATGCTAGATACCATCAGAAATTTTAGCTTATTTAATTCTTAAAACTGGACTATGTAGGTATTCTATGTTAGAGATGGAAAAACAAACTCAAATTGTATAACTTTCCCAAAGATATGCAGCTAATTAGAAGCAGAGACAATAAATAAACTCAGGTCTAATTGAATACAAAGTAAATACATTTCACCTTTCTCCAACTTATCTCTTAGCTAATTCTCATATAATGGCTTTTCAGCTGTTTTTATTATTTTTTCCATAATCTTTTGGTTAACCAAATTATATTTCCTTTACCTATAAAGCTCTGAGAATAAGACACCTGAAAAAACAACAATAGTAAATTCTCATAATTCTTTATGGTTCAAGAGGCTTTAACACACATGTAAGTTAACCTCTTGAAGCAGCTCTATATGTGTAATTTCAACTTTATGAAAGTAGCAAGAGATTTTCAGAGCATCTAGAGATAAACAGATGTTTATTCTCTACCTTGTCAGGTTTTGTTTCTGTCTTTTTCACAGGTCTTCCTTTATTTGGTTCCTTTTTTTCAGGTTCATTATCTACAATAAAAATGAATTTAGATATAAATTTTGGCTGATAAAAAATGCTATATTAAAGCTACTAAGGTAATCTGGGAAAGAGAAAAAAAGGTGACAATACAAATGCATGTCTTGATGGATTTTTTATGATTAAAAGTCACATGATAAAAAGAAATAAAAATAAATGAAATTTCCTGCCAAACACAGGCCATCTGTTTCAAAACAAAACAAATGTGTTTTATCTTTTACTTTTTCCTCTGAATAAAAAATGCATTTTATAGACAGGTAACAAAGAAAAACACCAAGAACCACCACCAAAAATAAATGAATCACTCAAGATTCCATTACTGAATTGACACTTTAGCATGTTATTCAATTTTTCCTATGTCCACATGTTCATATATTATTTTTCAGAGTAGTGACACTACTGTTCAGAGTTTCATCTGTTTTTTTCCCCATGCTTTTTGGGTGGGGGATGGTGGGGGGGGCCTGGGGACCAAACCTAGGGTCTTGTGCATTTGAGGCAAGCACTCTACCRACTGAGCTATATCCACAGCCCTAACCTGTTTTTTTCTTTGCCCACTTAGTGTATCATTAACCATGTCATTAAATATACTTTAACAGCATCTACATTGTATTTCAACAAATGGATAAAGTGGGATTTATCTAGGCCATTAAGTATTCACTTCAGAGCACTGATTATTCTAACTCAGGTGCTTCAACATTCCAGCTCTCGCTGTGTGCTAACTGAATGTCAGGACACAGACTCTGCTTTCCCAATTGAATTTTCCATTTCTCTCTTTCCTACTCAAAAAGTACATGCTGGTTTTAAAATTTAAACCCAATAATAACCTCAAGGGACAAAACATTCTGGTTAAGTCACTGATCAAAAAATAGTTCTTACCATTAGTGGCTCTTGTGACAGGCTTTCTTGTAGTGTTAGTTGAGACTGTTCTTACAATCTGCGTTGGTGTTTGAGTAGCAGATCGGGTCATTCTCACTGATGTRGGCATAACAGGCCGCACAACTGCAAGGGGAACATAATCTAATCAAATGTTCTTTGTATTAATAAGTTATTACTGTGATAACACCAGTAATTGTTAATATTCCTACCTTTTTTCTCTTTGTCCAATACTTTCTTTTCTGCAATTTGTTTTTGAACAGGTCGGATGGCTCGAACATCAATCCCATTCTCAATCTATTTAAGAAATTAGGTACTATGTGATTTAACTGCATAATGAATCAAACTATGACAATTTTAAATTGTAAAATGACCCCTCAATTGAATCCTGACAATTACAAATTACCCAGCAAAAAAATCTATTAACCTAAATAAAATGAAAGGAAGAAAAGTTTTCAATTATAAATATTTCCTTATATCCTTTTTTTAGAGTCCTAGAATTAAGCAATGACAACACAGCTAATTATAACCACCTGATGGTCCTTGAACTCAACAGGAATACTTTCATTTTGAGAGCCTTGAATTTTGCCTAGAAAACTCTTCTTTCGGATAGAGAACCCTTTCCCATGATTCACTTCCTTAAAGACCCCACTCAAAATGCCACCATTTCAGTTGGGCTCTCCCTGATTGCCCCAATCAAAATTCTACCCAACACATACTTCTGGTATTCCCTAACTCCCTTCTTCTAAAATTTCCTCCATAATACTTATAATCATTTTATTTATATATATATATATATATATATATAAATTTTTAAATTGCCAGTCTGATATGTAAGTTCCATGAAGCCAGAATTTTGTTCTTTATGTATCCCATAGACTAGAAAAGTGCTAGGATTGTGGTAGTGACCCAAAATCTACCAAACACATGAAAACTTAGCTTTCTGACCAGATAAAAGTCATACTATCCCTCTTGGACCACTCCATTTTCTTAGAAACCATAATACTCATCTGCTATGTGCTTTTCATAGCACATGTTTTCAGCTATTTACATTTCATGCAGGTAACTTGGAATATATAATACGAGTTCAGTAAACAAAGATGGCAACACAAAGTTTGGTATGGCTCTATTACCAATTGTACCTTAGTTTGTTCAATTTGGTCTTTGGCCTTTGATCTTGTAATCCGTCCAGAATATGGAATAGCCTTTAACAGTCAAATGAAAATCCAGTTTAAAAAACAAACAAACAAACAAACAAACATAAAATGAATTGGCAAAAGCTTACTTTCATGTCTCATTATGAAACAAAATTCCCAGTTTAGTATTAAATTTTATCTTCAATTATTTATGGCCAAAAGATACTTACTAAAAATTCCTACCTTTCTTCTGGTTCTGGCTGGATTTAAGTTATTTTTTAATTTTTTGTTACCAGAGATTGAACACAGGGGTGCTTAACCACTTAGACCCCAGCCCTTTTTATAATTTTATTTAGAGACAGGGCCTCACTAAGTTGCTAAGACTAGCTTTGAACTTGGCGATCCTCCTGCCTTAGCCTCCTCAGTCGCTGGGATTATAGGTGTGCGCCACCGTGCCCTACTGGATTTAAATTTAATAGCTTCAAAACTTACTCATATTTCTCCATTAGGGAAAAGAAACTTCAAATCATATTTTCCCTGTACTAGAATCCTCATTAATATGATAAGTTAGACATATTTGGGAAGAGGGTAATAAGCAGACTTGAGTATTAGGATCTTTCATTTTCTGTTTATAAAAAGAGATTCTCAGGGCTGGAATGTGGCTCAAAGCACTTGCCTTACATTCTCAAAGCCCTGGGTTCAATCCCCATTCCAAAAAGGAAAAAAAGAGATAAATGAATACCAGCAAAAAGGAAAAAAAGGAAATAAAAAACTTAAAAAATTTTCCACTTAAATTATTAAAACTTTTTTAGTTTTAATAATTTTGCTTTCATATCTTGAAGAAAAAAATCTAACAGGAGAAAGACTAGGGTAGTAAGTTATTTGTCAACTCTAAAATTCTTTTAAGAAGCATAATTATAGATTTCTCTAGATGAGATGCCATTTTGTATCTCCAAATCTCAGTAAAAACTTAGTGCTATAGAAATAGGATTGCTGGACATGGTGGCGCATGCATGTAATGCCAGAGGCTCGAGAGGCTGAGGCAGGAGGATTGTGAGTTCAAAGCCAGTCTCAGCAAAAGCAGGACACTAAGCAACTCAGTGAGACTATCTCTAAATAAAATACAAAATAGGGCTAGCTACTAGTGAATTTTTCTATTTAACACAGTGATGGGTCTCTTTTTCCCCTCTACCTATAACTTTATTTAAATAGTTATTTACAATTTGGACCAATGACTGACATCCTACATATTCTGAGAAAGCCACCTTAAATATAACCCCTTCCAAGAGGTCTTTGATGTTCTTGCAAATAGAAATAATCTCTCCCTCCTCTAACATACAAAGAATAGATTTAGCTTTATCTTTCCAACTTGAACTACAGCCATTAATTTTAGTCTCTTCCTTTTTGTTCTAAGATCATGCTATATACAGAGTAAATAATCAAAGATCTGCCAAGTGAATCAATGAGATTCACAAGGCCCAGAAAAGTAGGCAATATTTTAGGTCTTTATATCATTCCATTCTTATTTAAATTTGGAACTCATATACAATGACATCTTGGAAACACATTATTTAAAATGAGATCTGTGTTATATACTTTTAGAACAGCCAGTAGGTCAGAAGAATTAAAGTTTTCCTGGGGTGCAGCAACTCAAAGAGTTGAGACAGAAGGACTGCCAAGTTTAAGACCAGCCTCAGTATCTTGGTGAGACCCTGTCTCAAAAATAAAAAAATCCAACGGCCTCCTCTATCTTCTATCCTATTTTAGTTTTCCTGCCACCCTCACAAGTCTTTTTACCCTGGTGTTTGACTTCTGCTCACCTGAGGGTWCTCTTTAAAAAAAAATAATAATTTTATATATCTTTATTGAAAGGATTTCATTTAATCCTATAGTTAAACCACATCCATATCCTCAATGTTATATCCTAAGTCCATATCTTAGCACCAATCTCCATTCTGTTTTCAAAATTTTTATTCCCAACTGTCTATATAGGTGGCCCAAATAAGTTAAAAAAAAAGTTCACAAACGTGTACCCATGTAAACTTGTTACTTTTGTCTTCCTCATCTCTTTGGCAGTATGGCATAATTTGTACATTTGTTGAAACTAATAATTCCAGAATCATCTGTCTCTGACTCTTTATTAATTCCTTCAACCCTTATCATTTACTTGGCCACCAGTCCTGTCAAATATATCTTACACCAGTTTCCCTTTTAAACCCACTGCCCCAGACAACTTATACCATCGATTCTGCTGTAATAGTCTCACAAATTATCTTCTTATCCATAAACGCTTTCCTTTCTAGACTGTAATTTTTAAGGCCAGGGTAGACTTTCTGAATTATTAACTTGATGATGGCCCTACCTCATTTATAAATCTCCCCTGACTTTCCATAACTTACTTACAAGATAAATGCCAAATCCTTTGGCACAGTATTGTTTGGCCTGGCTGAACCAGATTTCCTAGTCTATCCTCTCTCCATTTATATATCAAGGAATCTGATTTTCTTTTTTTTTTTTCTTTTTGTTTGTGGTGCTGGGGTTTGAACCCAGGGTGTTCTACCATTGAACCATATCCATATCCCTTTTATTTATTTTGAGACAGTGTCTCACTAAGATGCTGAGGCTAGTCTTCAACTTGCAATCCTTCTGTCTCAACACTTTGAGTTGCTGCACCCCAAGAAGCCTGATTTTCATTCTTCTGAGTTACTGTTATGTCATTCCTGTAAAGGTAAAATTTCTAAGCTGATTCTAAGCTGCAAAAGCCTGAGTTAAAGTGTAAAAGACTGGGCATTGTAAAGCTTCTAAATTGCAAGGCCTGGTCTAAAAAGTAAAAGAACAGGTATTGTTAAAATTCTTCTGCTACCCACCCCCCCAACCTGTAATCTCTGTAGTTGTTAGGACAATACTGGAACTGCCCAGTAAATATTTCCATTGATTCCCTGGTTGTTCAATAGCTAAGGGCTCCAAGTAGCTTGGCATGTAAGCATCCAGGCCACAAAACCAATCAGTTTAAATGTGTACCCCACTTAGGAGTGACCAATCACCCCTGCCCAGACTGTTCCCGCCAATGAATGTACTAATCCTGTCTCAGAGTTGTTGTTCAATTTTCCCGCGCCTCATTGATGATTTGTTCTGATGTATGCAAACCCCCCAACCCACCCCCCCCCACGCCTTCTCCAAAAAGTGTACTTAAGCTCTGCTTGACCTCTGCTCTGGGCTCTGGGCTGCTCTCTCTTCTTGAGTGAGCACGGAGCCCCAGCGCGCTGGAATGGATCCCCAATAAATCCCCTTCTGCAATTGCATGAAGCCAGTCTCTTGTGTGGTTTCTCCCTCCGACGCTCCGCCCGGACCTTTTACATTCCCACCTTCTACCAATTAGTTAATCAATTAAATTTATAAAAGGACTAAAAGAAAAGGCATTGGTCATTTTGTTTCTTAAAGAAARTTCCAGATAAAAGGAACTATTCTTCTTTATCAAGATCATTAATTTACCTTTTTTGGCTCAGTTTTCATAGCATTCTGATTTGATAAAAGAAAGGAAGGTGCTTCAGGTCTATAAAGACCCATTTTAAATATTCCTCGTTTAGCTTTCTCTCTCTGTTCTTTTAATTTTTGAAGTTGCTTTTCTTCTTTGTATTTTTGAAGCATTTGTTTTCTTTCTTCACTTAGGACAGTTTTCAATGACTCTAAGCACGAAAAAAAAATCAAAACACAATATATAAAACATTTCAAATAAAAAAGTTACAGAAAATGTTTAAAAATCATTTTGTCTAACTGCTTCTAAGAAACGCTTCTAATAAGCTTCTAATAATTTATTCCTTAATATTCTAACTTGTTGAGAGCCACAGCAGAGTTGGGATGGCGCCAGAAGGAGTGGTTGAGAGGTGACACCAGCGAGCCATTAAGATGATAATTAAGTTAAGCTGTGTATAATTGCTGTGACTGGATGATGCTGGATTGGAGCAGGCTGTGTATTCAGTTGTATATGGACCCCTGATGTCAGGAAATAGGGTGGCTCCTGCTGCCTTGGGCTCTGCTACTTTTGAGTTCTGAGTTCTCCTGGAGCCCTGTTGAGGGCAGAGAGAGTTCCCGGGGACAGCATGTGGAGTGCTGGTGAGAGTTCGGCAATAAAGTAGTTCCTGTTTGAACCTACAAGTGCCTCAAGGCGGCTAGGTTATTTGTGCCCAGCCAGACTGTGGCTCTAACTAAAAGTTATTTTAACCCCAAGTCTTTTCAAAATTAGTATTCCTGTGTGTGCCTTTACTTGTTCAAATATTAATGGTTTGCTATATGTACCAGGCATGTGTTTTGTTTTGAACCCCTGGTGCTTTCCACTGAGCTATATCCCTAGCCCTTCTGCCCTTCTTTTATTTTGAGACAGAGTCTTGCTACATTGCTAAAGCTGATCTTGGAACTTTCCATCCTCTTGCCTCAGCCTCCCTAGTTGCTGGGATTTTAGGCATGTACCAAAGTGTCCAGAGTTATTACTTCAATTTTAAATTAATTAACTTATAAGATAATCTTCTAAAGACCCACAGTATTGAATGTCATACACTCTATATTTGTATACCATATTTGCTTTCTTGGATTTTTTTACTAACTCCTCTAGCCTCCATTTTTTTTCATTTATGTATTTAATTTTATTTTACAGTACTGGGGATTGAACACAGGGTCTTGCACATGCTATGCAAGCGCTTCATTAATGAGCTATATCCTAAGCTCTTTTTACTTATTTTAAGGCATGATCTTGCTACATTGCCCAGGTGATTTCAAACATGAGACCTTCCAGCCTCAGCCTTGTCAGTATAGTACACTACCACATCAGCTTCTCCATGCTTTCCTATAAACTAGAAATTATATCTAAGGGTTTAACTTCATTTGGTGCTACTCCTCAGTTCTTTGCTTGTTTCCTCATGTCCTTGCCCCCTAAATGTTGAAGTGTCCAATACTTTTCTCTCCTTTTTCCACTCACACCTCTGGATAATCATATCCAGCCTTACAATTTCAACTACCATATAAATTCAGGAGTTGCTGAAGTTATTAGTTATATCTCTAATTCAGACTTTCCCCCTAACTCATCTTGTGTATTTAATTACCTTTTCATCATCTCCTCTTACATGTCTAATAGGCATCACAAATTTAACATGGCTAAAATTGAACTCTTAATTTTACCACACCCTTTAAAAAATTATTCCTGGGGCTGGGGATGTGGCTCAAGTGGTAGTGCGCTCGCCTGGCATGCGTGCAGCCCGGGTTCGATCCTCAGCACCACATACCAACAAAGATGTTGTGTCCGCCGAGAACTAAAAAATAAATATTAAAAAAAAAATTCTCTCTCTCTTAAAAAAAAAAAAAAAAAAAATTATTCCTAAGTATTTTGTAACTTTGCAAATAGCCAGTCCACTTTTTACTTATTCTCAGACAAAAAAATGGTTCTTTCAAGGTCTTCCCATATCATTCTATGCCCATATTTTCATTTCCTTTCAATTCCAAAGGGATGGTATTCTTTTCTCTCTCCCCCAGACTACTAGCTCATTTCCTCTGACCTTCACACAGCACTAAAAATAAAAACAGAAGAACCCCACAACWGTTTTTATCCAATTCTTTTTTCCTTACTTTTCTTCAGAATCACAAAAATGATATATCTGGAAGAAATGTTTTAGGCCAATGTTACCCTTTGCAGAATCAATTAAGTGTCTTATATGTTTCATACTGGTCCTAGAAATTGAAAAATCCGAAGTAATTAATAGTTAAACAACTTGACACCTCATTTTCTTTCTCTATAAAACTTCTAAGAAGACTATCTTCTTCTAAATTCTCCATTTACCCTGGCTTTATTTTACTGCCACCTAAACAATAAAATAGATCTCCAATGACTCCTGGCTAAATGAAAAATCATTTCTTATTCTTCCTCCTTCCCTATAAATCCCTTGCCTTCTAAGACACTATATTTTCATCATTTTTTATCTTTCCTGAGATTACTTTTCTTTAGTTTGTCTTGTCTAATGGCCCAAAATCATTTTGGGCAAACTGTAAGGATGATTTTTTTTTTTTTTAATATTCATTTTCTGGGGCTGGGGATGTGGCTCAAGCTGTAGTGCGCTCGCCTGGCATGCGTGCGGCCTGGGTTCGATCCTCAGCACCATATACAAATAAAGATATTGTGTCCACCGAGAACTAAAACAATAAATATTAAAAATTCTCTCTCTCAAAAAAAAATATTCATTTTCTAGTTGTAATTGAACACATTACCTTCTTCTTTTTTTTTAAATGTGGTGCTGAAGCTCGAACTCAGGGCCTTGCACATGCTAGGCCAGCACTCTACTGCTGAGCCACAACCCCAGCCCCAGGATGAATTCTTTGCTCTTTTCTTGCTCTGTTTGAGTTACCCTTTAATTTTTTTCCATATCTTAATTAGTACATTATATATGAAAAGTGTTGTGACATATTCATACATGCACAAAAATTAATATAGTCAATATCATTCCCCAGTATATCTCCTTTTTCCCTCTCTTCCTCTCTCTCGCTGGTTACTTTACTATACTGGTCTTTCTTCTATTTTTATGAGATTCCCCACTCTCTAGCTTCCACATGAGAGAAAAGGAAACACATGATTCTGGACTTTCTGAGTTTGACTTATTTCACTTAACATATGCTCAAGTTCTATCCAATTTTCTGCAAATGAGATAATTTCATTCTTCATATTGAATAAAACTCCATTATGTATACTTATATTTCATTTATCTATTCATTCATTGACAGACACCTATTGGTTGGTTCTATAATCTGACTACTGTGAATTGTGCTGTTATATACACATATTGAAATATGTATATACATAGGTATATGTATACACACACACACACACACACACATATATACACGTGTATGTGTATATATATATACATACACACACACACACACACACACACACACACACACACACACATCACACATCACACACACACCCATATACTTTAAATCTTTAGGATAAATACCCAGGAGTGATGTTTTCTTATTGTTATTCCACAGGTTTTTTTACCCATTCTATTTTTATGTTTCTTATTAACCTTGCCATTACTTATCTAAGTTCCAGAAGTTAAGAACTTTAGGTTTCCTACAAGGTAATATAGATAATAAAATGCTATCATACCTCCATAGGAAAAATGGCTTTAGCCTAGCTAGGGACATTTATGGCCTTTAATTTAAATGGCTAGGACTTAGTTGCAGAAAACACCAAGTTATTTAGAATATTTCAAAGCTCCACTCTTTTGACCATTTTTAAAAAATTTGGTTTTGGCCAGTTTTGTTTTGTTCTTTTTGTTTTACTCACAGGCATTAAATCAACTTTTATTCACTCTTAAAAATACTTAAGCCAGGCATGGTGGCACACAAGTAATCCCAGTGGCTGGGGAGGCTGATACAGGAGGATTACAAGTTCAAAGCCAGCCTCAGCAAGACCTTGTCTCTAAATAATATACAAAAATGGCTGGGGATGTGGCTCAGTAGCTAAGTGCCCCTGGGTTCAATCCCTGGTACTCCCCCCACCCCACCTCCCCCCCACCCAAATACTTAACTACAACAGAACTTTACTTACTTGGCTTGGTACTGGCCTTTTCTGGAACAAGCTCTTGCAATGTCTCATCTAATTCAACATCTTTCAAACCAATGTGTCTATTTCGTTGGTATTTCTTATGTCTGTTTTCTTTTTGAGACAGTGATTTCCTATGAGCAATTTTAGTTCTAATCATTTCAGTACTTAAATCCTTTCTGTGATGACTGGCAAAACGTGATGAAGACATACTGTCAGGGAAAAGAGAAATAGAAACCAACATGAATTTTCTTTTTTTTTTTTAAGAGAGAGAGAGAATTTTTTAATATTTATTTTTCAGTTATCGGCGGACACAACATCTTTGTTTGTATGTGGTGCTGAGGATCAAACCCGGGCCGCACCCATGTCAGGCGAGTGCGCTACAGCTTGAGCCACATCCCCAGCCCCCCAACATGAATTTTCTTTTTTTTTTTTTTTGAATTTTCATTTAGATATTTTTAAAAATTAAGATTCCAGTTCATCTTCCCTCCCACTTCAGAGCTATTTGAAATAGAACTATTAAATGCATAATGGAATACCTATGTGACAATGAAGAATAGAAAAGAGATTATCAAGAGACAAGATGCTACAACCTATTTTGGAGTTCTAAATAGGAACCTGTTTGATAGATGAAGTGAAGCCCAGGAAAACTATAGTTTAGAATATAGACAAGAGGCTCCGGAATTGCCATAAAGAACACTGAAATAGAAGCGTGCAAGTGAAGGTGAAAACAGGGAACATACAGGACTGTATATAGAACAGTTTCCTTAACTTTCCCTGTGTTACCAGGCAACACTATTACCACCTCCTCTAGCTGCTTCTCCCCAGTTTGATTAAACTGCATAAAATTCATTTTTTCTTTTTCCATTTTGTGTGTGTCTCTTATGCCAGTGGACACTGAATCCAGCCAGAGGGGATCCAGGCAGGATCCCTAGGGGATGCTGCCAGTAACACCCTGGTGATGAATAGCCTGGTGTTTCTTCTCACTTCAAAACAACACAACACACACACACACACACACACACACACACACACACACACCAGATGCCTATTAGACTTGTCCAAAAATAGGCAGATGGATTTTTAAACTGGGAAAAGAAAGGTTTTTCAGGAATAATTACCACAGTGATGCAGAAAGATAACATCAGTTTGCCCCACTATTTTTTTAGCATATATATTTTTTAGTTGTAGATGGACACAATACATTTTATTTATTTATTTTTATGCCATTGAGCCACAATCCCAGCCCTTGCCCCATTTTTTTTTATCCAAGCAAGAAAACACATAGTTTAATTGGTACACACCCTTTTCTTTAGAAAGATTTTTTGAGAATGTATTAAAGAAAAACAAGAAAGTCAATAAAGACAGTGTCATAAGTTCTAACAGTGACTCCAAATGAGAATAATAAAGGATAGTGGAAAGTTTAAGGGGGTCACTTATGCACCTGATATTTCAAGAAAACTACAAAGCTAGAGAGAAGACTTGTTCTCCAGAATAAAAGTCTTGACAGTTTAAAAGAAGGTAAGAAGGTCCCCTCTGTGATTAGAAGGTTTAAAAAGTTATGGGCACCATGAATATATAGAAGTACTCCTTTTCTACCATCATATTCTCACAAGGTACTGCTAAGTTTCTGTTATTGTTTTTTGTAGTGCTGGGGATTGAACCCAGAGCTTCGTGCTTGTCAATTTACTACTGAGCTTAAGTCCCCAGACCTCTCAATACATGTCTCATGTCAGTCAGGCAAGCAATCAATTTGCAGGGGACTCCAGCTGGGTGCACTCTAATTCAATACAATTCTGATTCTATCTACCTGAAGACAACATCAGATCCTTCAGTTTAAGGGCTCAGTCCTACAAGACTGCCCCCATATCCCATGTCAAATTGTTTTACCTGTGCTACTGACTGACTAGCTATATATCAGTGTTTCCACAACCCCTGTTTTCAGGTTGCAGTTATTTGCTAAAGCAGCTCACAGATCTCAGAGAAGCATTTAATTTACATATACTGGTTTATTCCAAAGGTTATAGCAAAAGATAAAGATGAAGAGATGCACATTTCTAAGCTGTCTTCAAGCGCATTGCCCTCCATGAACCTTCACATTTCTACTTGAAAGTTCTTAAAAACAYGATTTTTTTTTTTTTTTTGTAGATGGACACAATACTATGCGTTTATTTTTATGTAGGGCTGAGGATCTAACCAGTCCGCCCATGCTAGGCCCTACTGCTGAGCCACAATTCCAGCCCCTAAAAACACGATTTTAAGCAATTACAAGAGCATAATTAGCATCCCACTTGGATACTAGTAACATTCTCCTTGAAGAGCCCAGGAAAAGTGACATGGGCTATGCTTTTCATGAAGAAGTCTCCTCTAATATGTGATTTGTTACTATTATGTGATGTGCTAAATAGTAAAAGTTAAAACTTGTTATTAGTTACTTTAAAAGACTATCTAGGGGCTGGGGTTGTGGCTCAGTGGTAAAGCAATTGCCTCCCATGCATGAGCCACTGGGATCTATCCTCAGCATCACATAAAAATAAATAAATAAACAAAACATATTGTGTCCACCTACAACCAAAAAAATATTTTTCAAAAAGACTATCTAACATTAAAGGTATATTTGTCACAATAACCCTACAAAGTAGTTTAGTATTATTACCATTGTACAGATAAGGTAAATTAACTTCCCACATTAACACAGCTAAAAGATGGTCTATCCCAAGTCAGGCAGCCTGCCTTTCACACACATCTTAAATTTTCTTTGGCTGCCTGGAGTTTCTTCCAACTTAAAAGTCTAGAATGCGTTAGTCTGGCGTGCCAGAGGTTCTCAGCTGGGAGTTTTTAGTTGTCAAAAGATCTGGGAGGAGCTCCTGGAATGTTCAACGTCCAGCATCGTGGAGCACTCTGCTACCTCAAAAGCCAATTACATCCCACTGGTAAAACGCTGCCTGCTGTATAAACCACGGCAACAAACATTTACACTTTGGGAGGATGGTGCCATCAGCTTCGGGAGGCAACCCGGTCCCTGAGAGCCCTCCCCGGAGCGGCGATCGACAGACTCACAGTCCCACTCCTCAGATCGTCTCCGGCAGCGGACCAAGATATTCCCCGCAGCTCTCCAAAACCCACCTACCTGAGGCACTTTCTAGTGCGAAACTTCAATCAAACTAAAAGTATAAGGGTCCTCCGAGTCAGGACAACGTCGGTCGCTCCCGAAGTAGGAACGCTAAAATCCGAACTTGCGCAAAATTCAAACCTTCCGTACCAAGCCTCTGATTGGAGGGGCTTTAACCAGCACTTCCGGGAAAGTGCCCGCCTCTTCCCTTCGACGAATCTTGCGATAGGTTCGCTCTGTGCGATATTTGAATTGATTGAAAGGCGAAGGGACGGTTCAATAGATGGGTGTGACGGGAAAAATAGGCGGAACCGCCACGCTGAAGGCGGAGAGTGGAGCCGTAGGGGAGCGAAGTCAGGTGCGGTAGCCAAGTCTTCTGGCGGAATTTTGGTAGCCAGCTGTATGCAATGGGCGAGTTCGTCCCACGGCCCTGAACTCCCAGAATTTCCCGGCCTTGTTTAGTCACAAAAATCCAGAAGACATTATTAGCCAGAAAACATTTCATTTACTTGCGGTACTAGGGACAGAACCCAGCGGGTCTTTTTTCCTAAGCTGCATACCCAGCACCTCCTTTTTAAATTTTGGAGACAGCGTCTCGCTGAGTTGCTGAGGCTGACTTCGAACTTGAAATCCTCCTGCCTCCGAGCACCACCACGCCCAGCTTTTCAACATTTGAAAGAAAGGGCCTGCCACACAGATTCTGTACATCCTTTAGTGACTTTTTCCTTTYTGTCCATTTTTTGTTAAGGAGAAATCTACATATGGTGAAAGGCATTTTTTTTTTTTGAGTGCACAATTTGATGGGCTTTAATAAATGTAAACAGCTGTTTATCTAATGGCCAATCAGGATTCCCTTCATCAGAGTTCCCTCCACTCCTCCTCTGATTCCATCAGGAGGAAACTTAGTCTTCTTCTCAGCAAGTTTTCAGGATCCATGCGTACTGTTGCAGGAGCCAACAGTTAATTTTTATTGCCGAGAAGTATTACATTGAATGCTTTATCCTTTCTCCTCTTTGTGTTATTTCTGATCTTGGGCTAGAATGAACGAAGTTGTTACGATCTTAGCTATATCTCTTTTTTAGGGCATTTTAATTTCTGTTGGGGAAAGTTAGGCATAGCTTGTTTGGGGCATTCTGGGTAGGTTTAACTAAGAAATTAACGAGCAGTTTTCCGAAGTCCTGCCTTTGATTTATAGGTACTCCAGTTATTCCCGTGCTATCTAACGTTTAGGGTTGTCAGTATTTCATTTTAACCCTCCAGAGGGTGCGAAATGATGTCTCCTTTTAATTGTGTTAGTGGGGACAAGGGTCTTGCTATGTTGTCTAAACTGGCCTCTAAATCAAAATCTGAACGCACCCTCCCTAGTTGTTTGGATTTCACGTGTACCCCACCATAGCCAGTTTTGAAATTGTTTCCGAAAGCTCTGTCCTTGTCCCCCATGCCAATCCAATAACAAGGACACCGGTTTTGAGAAAAAGGAAATAGAACCTTTTATTGCTTTGCTAACAAAGGAGAAACACTGGGGACTCCTGTCCCAAAAGCTGTGATTCTGCCCATCAGCAGGAACAGGGGGCTTTTAAAAAGGTGATTCAAAAGCTACATTCCCCTCATTTCTGTCTGGAGTTGTAATTCATTTGTTAATTTGGAAGATAGTCATTTCTGAGATCTTCTGGTACCATCCCCAAATTCCGAATTACTTCCGTTCTATGTTGGGTATGTACTCAAGGACAGATAAATCTGCCTAGGATGAAGAAGAAAGGTAATCCTGTTTCACCTGAGATTAGGAAGGAGAGAGAGGTTAGGGAAAAGCAATGAGAGAGGAAAAGAAAGAAACATGTCCATTTAAAAAATAACTTGCAGTGACAAAGCAGCAAGGGTTATATTGAAAGCATAAAGTAAACCGCTGTTACACAATGACTAATGATAATAAGGATTTTTTTCAGGTGTTTATTGACTATTTTTATATCTTGTTTTGTGAAATGTTTGCTCAAGTTTTGTTTTTAGTTTTTTAAAAAATGTTTTTAAAATTGAATATAGTTTTTAAATTTGGCTGTCTCTTTATTTTTCATTTGTAGGAATTTTATTCTGGGTATAAGTCCTTTGTTAAATATGTGTATTTTGAATGTATTTGCTCATTTCATGGGTGGTCTTTTTAAAATCAAACTTTAGAGTCACTGAAAAATTACAGATAGTAGAATTCTCAATGCTCATACCCATTTCTTGCTGTTTACATAAGCATGGTACCTTTGTTACAATTAATGGAATGATACTGATACATTATTATTCTTAACTAAAGTCTATATACTCTTTAGATAGTCTTACTTTTTTTTACCCACTGATCTTTTTTTTTTTTTTTTTTTTTTCCATTCTGTATACCACCTACATTTAGCTGTCATGTTGCTTTAGGCTACTTAGCCTGTGACTGTTTCTCAGATTTTCTTTGTTTTTGATGACCTGGGCATTTTTTGAGAGGTCCTCTCCTGATCAAGTATTTTGTAGAATGCCCCTCAAATGGAATTTGTCTGGTGTTTTTCTCATGATTAGACTGTGATTATGGGTTTTGGAGAGGAAGACCACAGAGGTAAAATACTGTTTTCATCATATTACATAAAAATATATACTTTTTGTATAATATGTCAAAACACATTCTATGGACATGTATAACTAAAAACAAATTTTTTTATTTRTTTTAATTAGTTACACATAATAGTACAATGATCTTGACATATCATACATTTGAATCAGATGGGGTATAATTTCTCATTTTTCTGAGTGTACAGAATCACATTGGTCATGCAGTCATGTATATACATACAGCAATAATAAAGTCTATTTTATTCTGCTGTCCTTCTTGTATGACATATGTATAACTAAAAAGAACAAATTTTTAAAAAAATTTAAAGAAAAAGATATATACTTTTGGGTCTAATCCCCAAGCCCCTCCAAGAGTAAAATGTTACATACTATCAAGATGACCTAATATGACTTAATTGATGTTAATATTAAACTTGATCACCCAGTTTGTTTATCAGGTTTCCCCACTGTAAAGTTATTACTTTCCCACCTTTCCATACTGTGGTTCTTTTGCAGAAAATTAGTATACAACAATACCCACTTAAGGAGTTCAGAAAGATTTGCTCCATTCCCTTGAGGATAAAGTATATATTTATTCAAACTATTTGAAATGTTTTCTTTTGGGGGGGATGGGTAGGGGGATTTAACCCAGAGTCACTTTACCACTGAGCTACATCTCCACCCCTCTTTGGGGGAGTACCAAGGATTAAACTCAGGGGCATGTGACCACTAAGCCACAACTACAGCCCTGTTTTGTATTTTATTTAGAGACAAGGTCTCACTGAGTTGTTTAGTGCCTCACTTTTGCTGAGGCAGGCTTTAAACTCCTCCTGCCTCAGCCTCCTAAGTCAGTCCATTACAAGTGTGTATCATGGTGTCCAGTTCCTTGGTTTCTTTTAAAACCCATATCTGGGCACTAGATATGTTCCTTACTACTACGGAATCTCTCAGCTGATGAAGTAAAGGAATATACTTGTCTATATTAATGTGTGAGTACAGATACCTACAAATATTTCAATATGCAAATATCTGTGTCTGTTTTAAGCTAATCAATGAGTTACTGCTGATGTCTCCAACTCAGATCCACTGTTCTAACCTAAACTTGCATCTGTAACCGCCCACTTCAATAGTGAGCAAACTGTCCTTTTTTTTTTTTTTTTTTTTTTTGGCATGGATAGGAATGGTGGGTAGAGGGATATGTTTGTGATTGAACTCAGAGCTTCCCAACCATGTTAACTACACACTGGATGGCAGAGCTACATCTCAAGCCCTTTTTGTTTTCTTAAAGGTGTCATTGGTGAGTGGTTTGGACCTGTGATGGTACAAAGAAATTCAATTTACCAATGTTTTTTCTTTTGTCTTTAGTGCTTTGTTTTCTAAGAAATCTTTGTCTAACACAAGATCACAAAGTTATACTATGTTTTCATTTAGAAATTTGGTAGTTTTAGCTCCAATGTTTAGATCTGTGATCCATCTCAAATTAGTAGTATGTGGTATCTTCAGTCTTCTCTCTCTCTTTTTTTTTTTTTTATTTTTAGCACATGCTCCAGCACCACACATACACGAAGTTGATCTGTATAGTTGTTTGTCAATAAAATTCCCTCTGCAAACTTTTAGGTGAGTTAAAAAACTACCATACTTGACTGTATTCAGAAATACAAAACAAAGCATATATATGATAATAATATAACATTGCTCCACAGACCTTTTTTTTTTCTTATTTAGAGGCGGGGTCTCACTGAGTTGCTTAGGCCCGCACTAATTTGCTGAGGCTAACTTTGAATTTGCGCACCAGGTTTGCTTTTCTTTTTGGGGGGGGTTGGGTGGGGAGGCTACCAAGGATTGAATTTAGGGGCACTCGGCCACTTAGCCACATCCCCAGTCCTATTCTGTATTTTATTTAGAGACAGGGTCTCACCGAGTTAGTTGCTTAGCACCTCGCCATTCCTGAGGCTGACTTTGAACTTGAGATCCTCCTGTCTTAGCCTCCCAAGCCTCTAGGATTATAGGCTTGTGCCACCATGCCTGCTCCAGCTTGCTTTTTAAATCTGTTTATCAAGGATATGATTGGTAGCCTTAGAATAGTTTCATCTGAATGGGGAAAGCATAGTACCATGAATTAAAGCTTCATTTGGAATTACTGAAACAGAATATGGTTGAGGAATCACAGTTTTGGGGATGGAAAGGATTATTGTCTTCAACCTCATCCCACAACTAATTTAGTAGCAGAGCCAACTGGTTGTGGTAGTACGCACTGTAGTTACTAGGAAGGTGGAGGCAGAGGAGGATGACGTGAGCCCAATCCTTTGAGGCCAGCCTGAGCAACACGGGCCCCATCTCAAAAACAAAAAACAGAACAAAACAAAAAACGAAGGTAGAAAAGCCAACACCCAAATCCAAGTCTTTTAAATCTTTCATGTTTTATTTTATTTTTAAAATTTATTTTGACTTTTTTTCACTTTTTTTATTGGTACATTATATTTGTACATACTGATGGGATTTGCTGTTACAT